CCCTTCAGGACCAATAATGAGAGTAGTGATACTAGGAGGGTAAGGGGAAGGTGGGGGGAGAAAGAGGGAACTGATCACAAGGATCCACATAGAACCCCCTTCCATATAACTCCCATCGGTCAGTGTAAGACATGGGAAAAAATTGTAAATTATCAAAGGTTAATGAGGGAGGAAGAGTGGGGGAGGGGGAAAATGAGTTGATACCAAGGGCTTAAGCAGAAAGAAAATGTTTAGAAATAATGATGGCAAGGATGTTACTATGCCTTTGGTGTGGTAGGTACACCTTCCTGCTGGCTGAGCCTGGTTGCTCCCAGAGCCCTGTGATATTACCACTGCCATTGGATCCACATGATTTTTTTACCCACAAGCCTGTGATCTACCTGCATTATGCATCACTGCATGTGGCTGCGTGAGTCTGAAGAGGGACTTATTGATTAGTATTGTACTTATGGACTTGAATTGGACTGGACTAGGATATTTTCTTAGTTTACAATTACTTCTTGATATAAAGTTCTTTCTTACACATATATGATTATATTGAAGCATTTGCTGATGAAGATCAAGGATTCCAGCCTTCAGTATATATTACAACTCAATGTAAAGAAAGCGAAAATCCCCAAAAGGTGACCAATAAGTAGCATCATGATAAACGGAGAAAAGATTGCATTTGTCAAGGATTATTAGTGCTCATTAGAACAGCCGTCAAGTGATGAAATGACTCTGCACTGGGTAAATCTGCTGCCCAAGACCTCTATCAACTTTTGCAGAGCAAGGAGATAGCTTTGAGGAGCAAAGTATACCTGAACCAAGGTATGGGACGTGAATTGTCTCACATGCATGTGAAAGTGGGACAATGAGTAAGGAAGATCTAAAATGAAACAATCCATTTGCATCATGGTTTGGGTGAAGAATACTGAAAATACCGTGGACTGCCAAAATGACAAACAAATATGTTTTGGAAGAATTATATCCAGAAAGCTCCTTAGAGACAGAGACTGCTGGACTTTGTCTAATGTAATTTAGACATGTTATCAAGAGAAACCAGGCCCCAGAGAGGGACCTCATGCTTGGCAAAGTAGAGGGGAGTTTAAAAGAAGACTCTTGCTGAGATGGAGTAACACAGTGGTTCTAACAATGGATTCAAGCATAAAAACCATTGTGAGGATGGCCCAGGCAGGGCAGGGTTTCATTCTGTGGTATTTAGGGTTGTTGCGAGTCAGAAGCAATTGGAGGACACATAACAGCATCGATCTATATCTTTCGATCGATCTATCATCTGGGAAGGATTGTAGGGAACTATCATTTTTTCATGGCTGGAGTATATAGTTTGTGAATTACAAAAGAAATACACATTAGGAGAGATAGACCATGGCTCAAAACAGCTTCTTGTCCTAGAGCAGTGGTTCTCAACCTTCCTCATACCTCCATCCTTTAATATAGCTCCTCATGTTGTGGTGATCCCCAACCATAAAATTATTTTCACTGCTACTTCTTAACTGTAATTTTGCTACTGTTATGAATCCGGCGACCCCTGTGAAAGGGTTGTTCAAGCCTCAGAGGGATCGCGACCCACAGGTTGAGAACTGCTGGCCCAGAGAATGCTGACATCAGGACCAGGTTTTGGGAGGGGACATGAGACATCAGTGTCCCCTAGCTGTCGCTCTCCTCTCATTAGACTGCACTGAAAATCAATTATTCTATTCCAGGCATTAGAGTAGAGGCTAGGATTAATTAATTATATTCAAAATATATCCTTAATAAGACAACATTGACAACTAACATTTTTGGGGGAGTATTTTGTAAGTCACAGGCACTTTTCAAATGATCTCATGCATTAATCCATTTAATCCTTAAAAGTACTTCATAACAGTACCTGACATATTTTCCTCATAAATATTGCTTAAATTAATTAGCTAATAATAGGCAGAAAAGTCCTACTGAAAGTTGGCTCATTTAGGACTAGGGCTGTAAATACATAATTAACAAGGCCTGGCCATTTTGTAAGAGATGGAGGATGATTATTAAACTTTCTCGTGCATGATAATCTCCAGAGGTTCTTGCAGAAATTTCTATTCCATTAATTCTGAATAAAGTACAGGAATCTGTCTTTTCACTTTCAGCTGATCTCTTGTCAAATTATGGGAAAAACAATAACCGCTGTTTAATATGACTTGATAGTATAGACAACACAGGCAGATAAGGTTTGCAGCTCATCCTGTCAAAGGAAGGAGGAGGGAAATGGTGAAAAGTCAATGCCAATGTGAGGTAGCCATCAACTGCAATGGGAAATGACTACTTCTTCTTTTATTTTAGAGCTGCTCAAACTTGGCACCATGGATAAATTAAGGCTTAAAAATCTTCTTGTGAGAAGGATTATCTGTGCATTTCAGACAGATAACAATCACTATAACCTCTACTCACTATTTTAACCACAAAGAATGGCTTTCCACATTGCCAAATGTCCACTGGAAGGCAAATGGCTCCACCTGAAAACCTTTGCCCCAAGCACGATCTCCCCTCGCACGATCTCCCCTCGCATACCTATCGCGGCATCTAGTCTCCAAACTAGGCTTGAATGTGCTCCTGTGAGACAAAGCATTTTATTTGACAAATGCAAGGTATTGTCTTGGCTTTATTCAGAGCCCACAATATGTATCATCCACCTCACCTCCAAGTTGGGTGATTATCAAATGGGACAGATTTTCAGGGTCAAGACATGGCTGGTATCCAAACCCATCATTCTTTCTCCGGGTTCTGGAGGGTCAGACCACTGTTACATATTTTAAAGAGAATCATAATTAATGATGACTGTAGAAGAGGATCAGTTTCCCAGAAGACATATTTTTAAAGACAAAACCTGTAAGAAAGAGATAGAAATAGAGTTATAGTAAGATTAAAACAAACAAACAAAAACTTAAAAGAAAGAATGGAATGTGACTGTTTGGGAAAGCATTTCAGCACAAAAGCAACAAAAAAAACACACTAAGATTGTGGAAATCATAAGAAAAATGTCCCTTATTCCAATCCTTTAAGCTTTACAAGAACGGAGAGGTAATTTGTAACTACCAAATGGTTTATCCTTCACCTTTCCTCTCCATTAATTTCTCTTAACTGCTCTCAGCATCTTTCAATTACATATTAGAACAATAAAAGTAAAACTAAACTTGGTTAAGAATTATTTATGGGAACATGATCAACTGCTATTGAATGACACTTTGTAGTGTTGTGTTCACATTAGTATATGCAAATTCTTTCCTAGTTTTATCAAAATGCAAGCAGTAACTATAAGATTATTTGCTCTTCTAGCTAATTAGTGAATTAATTCCTAGTTCACTGGCTAATCAGATCAGTGAATTAGTGTGTGAAACAGTTAAATAGCTACCCAAAGCACAGTCCTAATTACAACAAGAAAAAACAAAACAAAAACCCAAACCTGGTATTTTATTGACATCAGCTATTACCTAAATTCACTCTCTTAAAGATCTATTATAATGACGCATTTCTGTTATATAAATTACTTCACAAGGACTACCTTGACTAGCAAGGCTTGTGGAAGAGAATAATATTGCCTAATTAAGGTATAGTGGGAGAAAAGAAAGGAGATTAATACGTATTTTCAGAGGAGACTAAAAGGATGGAGAATCAATCAAACAGGGGTTTAAAAGCCCAGTTTTGTACCAACATGTTATTTCAGGAGGGAAAAAAAAGCCACCACCTTGTTACCCGTATTCAATTTCCTTACATGATTTCAGAAGCTAGGGTAGTAATAGTTACCTTATCGCATAAACATTGCTGCTCTGGCTTGCACTGTTTTCTGGGAGACAAATACTCTCAGGTCCCTAGGTGGTGAATCACAGTTCAATGGGAATCTGACCAATTCTCGGCGATTGTGGGTGATTAATGAGACAACCACCCACCCACCCCTAACCCCAGGCAGTGTGGTGGAAAGCAGGAATTTAGCAAGGCTTTAAAACAGAAGATGGCTCGCCAGAGCAAGCAGGCTTTGCACCACCATCACCATCCTCTACTCTACAGTTGTTCCAGCTGTCAGAAGGCTTTCCAGTTGCCATGGCAACTGTTGGGCTCTGCTGCAAACTCAAAACAGAGCCTCTGAAGTTAGGTACCAAATGTCTGAGCCAGGCAAATGCAAAGGCAACTGGGGAGGAAGAAGGAAGTAAGGGTTTAGCATGGAATGGGTCTACAACCCCTGCAGCTAAGAAAACAATTTCAAATCAGATTTTGGGGGGTGGGTGAAGATGTGGGGAGTTAAAATGCTCGACATTATTGATTAGTGTCATCTTTTTGGAGCCCCGAGGGAGAAAAAGACTGCAAGTTCTATTTGCAAAGGCATCGGGAGTGGGGAGGAAGTCTTCTGAACAGGAAGGCATCAAACCTGCCCATTCATTCATTTATTCAATTACCGATTCCACCTCTCCGCAGTGTTCATTGGTGTTGGGCGTTGTGCCAGGTGCTGGGTCTGCAAAGGTAAACAGGACGCCCCTCTCGTCCTCAGAAATTAACAACGCTAATTAACCAAAATTAACAGAACAGTCACGTGCTCACAGAAAATCAACTAGACGCGACACGCCTTCCAAGGCTTCCGTTCCGAGGACAGATTCACCATCGCAGCGCGGGAATGGAGGGCGGGCGGGCGGGACTGCCACAGTCCGGGAGAGGGGAGCAGGGAGGCGGCTTTTCCAAAGGGGAGAATCGGTCAAGGCCACAAAGGGTTCTCTGCTCCCCCAAGCAGAAAATGTTTGTTTTCCTTTGAGAAAGTCAGAGCCCTTTCTCCTACTGGGCTCGCGGTCTAGTAGGGAAAGCTCCGCCTCTTCGGGATACTGATTGGCCCAAATCTTTTAAAGATAATTTATGCTAGCATCTTCTCTGTCTGATTGGCTCCCCCGCTCAATTCCACTGGGAGTCGCATCCTACCTGGTGGAGAGGTGTGTTGCTGTCCTACACTCTCTTTGGTCCTCCCTGGGCTGTTTCTGAGGTGGAAGAAGAGGCTCCGAATTGGAGACATTCAGTTCTTGCAGCACAAACCTAAAGAGTGTAAGATCCAGCCCAATGGGTTCTTGGAACGCTTTTCGCTTCTCCCCTTTTCTCCTGTGGAGTCCAAGTCCAAGAGTGAGGCTGATGTTCTTGTTACTGATTCTACACTTGGGAAACTGGTGAGTAAATTCAAGGACCTAAAACTATTCTTTGGCATCGATGCCCTTGTCCTTTACTGTCCTTTCTTTAAACATTCGTTATGAGTAATCTATACTTCAGGGACATAGTGTGTTATTCTCCCAGTGCAAATCTCTGATTAAATCATTTCACTTTCAGGTTGAGTAAAATTAGCTTATTTCAGAACATGGAGGTTTAGCTCAATTGTGTTCAGTATTAAAATGGATTTAAGTGGGGATGGTTGGAGTCTGTAGAAATGACTTGCTACTACATTTAGTGAATGAATGCCAGAGATGAACTCTGAACTTTCTGGATGATTCTGCATTTTAAAGTCAGCTATTTCAGAAACTTGTTACTCAGTCAGGTGTGTGTGGCGCTGTGCTGTATACTAATGTTGCTTCACCCCACCCTTTACTCCTCTTACTCTTATTGTCTTTGGTAACTTTGCTATTCTGGAAAAGCGAATTGTGTAGAGCAAGAAAGTGGATAAATAGTACTAAAATTTGGGGGGTTTGAAAATGTGTAATATTTCACTCAGAAAAATAATCAAGTAGATTAACAAATTTTGAATGATTTCTATTTCAATGGGCTGTCTCTCAATAATTAAACATTATATGATAGTATCGGTGCTGTGTGTGTGTACAAACAATACCAATCCTAAGCTTGGAATTTAAAAGGAACCAGAATTGTAATGCCTTTCAATAAACTTTGAAATCATTCTGATAGAAAGATAAAGTGGTCAAGTGTCTCACGCAGGATTTGTATAGGAATAGTAAATGAATGGGGTTAAATGTTTCAACTAAGGGTGAGGCATTATAAATGTGCCTCAGATACATTATTCAGATAATGCAACCACTTTAAATATATGTGCATTTTAAATTATATTATTGAGTTATAGGATTCTGTTTAGAACTCAAGGCTACAATGCAATCACTAAGCAGATAGAAATATACTGTAATAACTGTTGCTTAGTGCTTAGCAATCATTGCTTAAATGAATTGTTGTTCATGATTTGATTTTAGTATATTGCTATAGTGAGATTTTTTTTGAGCTATTACCAGCAAATAGAACAACTATGTTTTCTCTCATAAAACAGGAATTTGATTAAAGTGGGCCAGGCAATCTAATTTTCATGCTAAAAATTTTCTGACACTTGGTCCTGTTTCAAGTATTATAATTTTAATGTATTTACCCTTTTCCATTAGAATTGTAAATCCTCTGCATGGGCACAAATATATCATTCATTTCCCCCCCTCATACCTTAGTTGTGTCACAATAGCTATTTCATTGAATGTGTCATAATATTTTAGAGGAGATTAAAAAATATATAACATACCAGCCTTCTTATGAATTTTCATAATATTGTAAATGAATCTGGGTCTGATAAGTAAAAGCAGATTTATCCAGTGATTTTTTTTGAAATGGTAACCTGTCTGCTTTTTTATTTTAAGTGCAAGTTGTCCATTTGACCTAATAAGCAAATCGCTTAGTAATGGTCATACTGTCTGTTAAAAGAAAAGCTTTGTTTTACAGGAATGAGTTTTTGCTTATGATCATTATAATTGACTGCAGCTCTGCTTCACGCTTCTCAGATAACAGAAATTGTGTGGAGTAGTGGACAGAGCATGGGTTTGGGAGCTTGAAGACATGATCTCATGCATCTGGGTCTTTAACCTTTCTGAAAACATCTGCTTCATCCAGGCAGTGGTAGAATTAGATCATTTATGAGTTCTTCAAGTTTTCATACTAAACATATCTAAGACTTGAGCAAAAATGATTCAACAGTTGCTTCAATAGCCATGCTTAGTAATGCTCAAGAAAGATATGAAATGGGGTATGCATGTACATTCAGTACTAAATGTATGAGTAAAAGAGAGGTGTTATAAAATTAAAATAGATATTTAATTCCATTTATCATAATAAAATAGATCATCTGGATTATTCTGAGGAGTGAGTATATAATATGAAAAACAAAGCTACATGTTTCTGCTATAATTTTTTGGGTTTCAATAGGAGAGTTCATGTTTGCGCTTTTTAAAGTAGCTACAGTTGTGGTGAATTCTTTTGTTTTCTTGCCCTATAAGCAATATTTAGTTGGAGATTATGGGTGCTAAAATTATACAAACCATCTACATTCCTATCTCCATTTTGAGAAACATTTTTAAAAGGTTTTTAAAACATTTAAAAAATTAAACACAGATGGATCTATTCATAAGAATTTTGCTGACCATTTCTTAAAGTAATCTATTTCAAGATTTCCTTATATCAACAACATAGGTGAGTGGTACTATATTGACTCTCACATTTCTGAACTTTGAAGCCAACTTTGGAGTCAAGAGCTGTAGTTACTGGGCTCCCTGTATTACACTTTCTATTGGCATCCAGACAAATTAGTTAGATGCTCATAAGTTTGATTGAACTCATATGTAATGGTGGGAGAAAATCTAAATATAACCAGGTTTTCAGAAGGATTGAAAATATTTTCGGATTTAGCTCCTATAAAAAATATCCAATCGTAGGTTTTAACTAGCAAATTACATTTGAGAGAGCTGATAGAGAACAACTTGTTGTTACAAAAAAACAATCTGCATGAAAAATTCAATAGTGATAAACAATAGCTTTCAGATGGAAATATTTTTAATTATTGTTAAACATAGCCCTTTCAAGTAACTAAGAAAAATTTACTAATATTTTGAGAATGGTAGTTAATGACTGATTTTGGCTTAAGTATCTAATAAAAGAATAATGCTATTTTGGCTTATGTGTCTAATAAAATAGTAATAATGATCATGTAAATTTAGACAAAATAATGAACTAATGATATTGCACTAACATTTAAATACTTAAATAAAAAATAGGTATAAAATTATTTTATATCTAGGAGTCAAATATCACCATTGTGCTACGTCTTATAGACAGTCCTTTAGGTTATCCAAACAAATCACCTGCTTCTTGTGTTTCATTTTCTTGAAAGGCAGCAGGGCATATTTTATCTAAGGAAGAAAAAGAAATGTTGAACATTTAGTTCATATATTAAATAAACTGATTTAATTGTTTATGTTTATATGAGGTGATTAATATTTGCCTAAGAACATAATAACCTCAAGGAATGAGGTCTATGGGAGGAAAGAAAAGGCAGGGTAGAAAGCTGAGACATTACTCATGCGAGACTGAGAACAAGATCACTGAAAGAGGACAAATGAGTGATGAGAAAGAAAGCTGTGGAGAGGTACACGTCGACTATTCAGGCCTGTGGAGAACACTTCACATGTGGACGAGGTAGGCCAGTGACAAAACAAGGACTTGACCATTAAATAGAGGTTCTCACTGCATTTCCAATAGTTCAACTAGCGTGATCACAAGTAATTTTCCCCCGGATATCATTCAACTTTGACAAGTGGAAAATAACATTTTTCTTTAAGTTTGGATATCACTGGGAAAATTCATTTAAATTTTTATATGAGAAGATATGATAACAGGTCATTTGTGGTATCACATCTATTTGGATGTTATTTTTCCTGGTTAAAGTAATTT